TGAGAAGTTGCTAGTAGCTGTGGTTGATCATAAGCTGAAGGAGCTGAGGGGCAAGTGCATTGCTCTGGTGAAGGTGTTGTGGGATGCAACTACTGGTGAGGCTACTTGGGAGGTGGAGCAGCAGTGCAGGGAGCGGTATCCATTTCTTTTCCCAAGTAAGTCTGTTTTCGGGGACGAAAACTCTTGTTGTTGGGGTGGTTGTGAGACCCCTCTTCTTTTCCTTTTTCCTTTCCCCGACACTCTCACTCACTCTTGCTCATCTTATTTCTCTCTTGGCCTTGGGGTGATCTTGGTGGCTGTAGGTGTGGGTGGTGAGTAGGTTGATTTCCTTCCCCAGGTGTTGATTCCTCGAGCTTGTCTTCTTCTCCATTCAAGCTTGTTTCCATCTTATTCTTCGTCTTCTTTGTCCCGGAGCTCGGATTCTTGAACCGAGGTAAGGGAAGTTAGATTTCTTGCTGTGTTTTGGCTGAAAATGGGTCTAGGAACTCATTTGGTTGCTTACGATTGATGGTTCTTGGCTAATTTGGTGAAAATGGAGTTGTTTTGGGGGTCTTTGAGAAAAATTTTGGTTTTCTTTGATTTGTGGATGCATGTGTAAAAAGGTGGTACTTTTGAGGTATTTGATGAAAATGTGGCACTTTGGTTGGATTGCATGTGCTGGAAAAGTGGATTTTTGCAGGTTTTGGGCAAATTTTCGAACTTGGTGAAGTTGCTGCTGAGCTTCGCGCTGAGCGCCGTTCTTCGCGTCAGGCGTGCGACCACCAGGGGACTCCATTTGGTCAAGCCCGCCGGGCGCAATGATGAGTGCGCTGGGCGCGTTTGAGAATGTGGGTCTCTGGCTGGCCCGCGCTGGGCGTGACTTGGACCGCGCTGGGCACGATACCAGTTGTAGAATGATTTGGGGTTTTTGGTTCTACACTGAGCGCGACCCTTGTCGCGCTGGGCATGAGACTCCTTGGGAGTCTCTGCCTTGAGGGCGTTGGGCGCAATTTGAATTGCGCTGGGCGTGAAACCTTGGGAGGTCTCTGTCTTCCCCGCGCTGGGCACAGGTTTGGGCACGCCGGGCGCGTGAGACTCCTTAGAGTCTCTGCCTGGCATGTGTTGGGCGCAATTGGTATTGTGCCAGACGCGTGTGAGCTTTGGGCTCTCTGGCTGGATCCTGTCGGGCGCGGGCATGCTTGCGCTGGGCGCGTTGGCCCCCTGGTGCTCTCTGGTTGTACCGCGCTGGGCGCAACCACGAGTGCGCTGGGCACAGAGATGAGATTTCATTGTATGCTGTTAGAAGTTGTTTTATGCTGAGTATAAGCCGAAATTGATGAATATGATGTGTTGACTAGTAGATAATGCTGTTTGATGATGTTTAGTTGTGTTAGATGTTATTGCTGTAAGTTGGGATGTGTTGTGTGCTGATAAGATGAGTTGTGTTATATGCTATTAAGTTGTACTGTGTTGAAATGTTGATATAAATTGTTGTAGGCCGTAAGGCTGAGCTGTTGTAGGCCGTAAGGCTGAGCTGTTGTAGGAGATCTCCGAGCTGATACGCGTGACGATGCATTGTGTGCTTATTGTTGTGTATGTTGTATAGCTGATGAGATGTATGTTGATGTTGTGCTGATAACTGTAGTTGTTCATATTATATATATGCTTTGTATGTTGATTCTTTTCACTAGCTTACCCTTTGTTGTTTCAATTTGTTTGGACTGCAATGATCATACGTTGTATGGGAGCAGAGCAGGATTAGGTTGGTGATAGTGGCAGGTCTGCAGCTGGCAGATAGAGGAGTTTTATTTTGTTGCTGTTTTGTTGTTTTGGGCCATTATTCTGGATACTTTGGGCTGTATTTATACTTTGATGTTTAGCTCAGATTAGACCTCGTGTATATAATTATATACTTGCTCTTATCTGTGTGTTTGTCGTGTTGTCGGATGGTGTGTAGTGACCAGCCGGGTCGTTACATCATTCATGATTTCTTAAATCGCTTAAATTATTTAATTAAAAGTATTATGATATTAATTACCATTAATAAAATATATTATAGTATTGTTTACTCTCTCTTTTTTGGTGTTGCTTTACTCTAAAATATTATTATAATAATTTATTATTTATCCTAAAATCCCTAAAAATATTTAATTACTTAAATTATTTGTTTATAAATATTTTACCTAAAATTATATATTAAAAAAAAAGGTTAGGAACCACTATTATATTTGCGTTTTTGAAAAAATAATTACATCCAAGATTTTAGAAATCGGAATATATTATACTTTAAATATTGTAAATAATTAGTAATCATTATTAGATTTATATTTTTGTTTTATTAATAATTATAAATATTATTACTAATTTTTTCATTCTAATATATATATATATATAAACATCCCTTATTACAACCTATTAAAATCAAACTTTTATAGAATGCAAACAACTAATATTATTTTTATTATTTTCTTTCAGAATAGAAATAAAACAATTTTTTGTAGTAGACATTGTTTCTGGAAAAACTAACCCGAGATTAAATATATGTATCGTTCATATATGAAATGTATTTGAGTTTAACAATAAAAATGTTTTATCCAATATGAAAATGATTCTTCTCCATCAAAAGGTAATAGTAAGTTAGTGTATTATTTTTTGAATAATTCTTAATATTATTATAATTTATATTTATTGTTGCCATTAATTTTTAATTATATAATTAATTAAATATTAAACCATTTAACTTACCAACATATGTTATACATGGCACGAGTATCAAATTTAGATTCAAATTATGTAATATTTTTGTTAAATAAATTCAAATTAACGTATAAAATATTTTTTTATAATTATTTATTAATTTAAATGAATAAAATGAAGTATCAAATTTAAAAAAAATTGTAAATTTGATATAGGCCTGAGCATCAATCAGCCACAGTCGATTTCGGACCAAAATCTTTGAAATCGTCCAAAATCGATTAAGAAAAATTAAGAGTCATTTCCAACCAATGAAGGCCTCAATTTTTTGCAGGTTCAATCCATGCGTATAATGACCCATCAGGTCTCACACAGTTTATAACTTAAAGGGGAAATATATTTACAAATACATTTCCCTTACCATACACAATACATAAAATAAAACATCACAATTAAATAGTTATATATACCATGAGAATAGACTGTTAAATCTCATATCTACATATATACAATTGAAAATGTGTCATAATATAATATACATAATATATGGCAGCCACTACTTCAATACAACAAAATAAAACCTTAGCTCTCATGTTGAGTCTCACCCAAAATCCTGCCTACGCGTCACAACATAGCACCTGCTTCTGATGTGCTCATATACAAAAGTATGGTCATCATAGTTCCAACCACAAGGAAAACAGTCAGGGTAAGCTCACAAAAATAACCATCATATAAAAAGCATCAATATATGATAAACAACTAAAAGCAACACAACATTCAACTATTAATTTCAACCTCAACCACAACATATACAACAATATATAAACAACATCAACATGTAATGAGCAACAAAAGAAGCACAACATTCAACTTTCGACCATTAACTTAAACAACATATATATATATATATATATATATACATAATATACACAACATACAACTACAACTGATGTGTCATCACACATATACAACATAAGAGATCTCCAACAACTGAGGTTGAGTAGTCTAGGTGGCATAAATCCTATTGAATCTAACATTTGATCTATCTCAACTAGGTCAGGTATAGGGCATCGTTAGGAACTTCGAAGAAAACCAGGTATAGACAACAATAGGAGATTGGGTCTACCACTCAGATTCAGAGGTTCAGTACTACAGTTAGGGAAAAAGGGTTTGGGTGTGGGCCTGCCACAGCCTTAGGTTTTTCAACTTTAATAAACAACTTTCTTACAACTTTAATACAACTATCATATAGGTTTTTCAACTTCATCAACTTGACAAATAAAAATCAACTTGAACATATAATCAACTTGAACAACTTTAATCTACATTTTAGCCTTTAAAAATAAGGAATTCTTCAAGAAAATTCTCAAATAGAGCCAGTCACACCTGTAACTCACCGGTCACACCCGTGACTCACTCTGTCTTAGCACTATTATGAAACCTGAGGAGATCACAACCGTGACTCATCGGTCATGCCCGTGACTCACCTGAAAATCAACAAAAAAAGACCCCACTTCAATTTTTTTCTTCAAAACCTAAAACTCAAAAGAACCCCAGCACATACAACCATTCTTAAGCATTCACAACAACATATAATCATCAAAACAACTACAAACATCAACATGTAACCCTAAAAGCATCTTAAATCATCATTTTTCTACATCTATTCAATACCCACTTCAACATTCAGCCATTAGAACCCAAAGACTCAACCAATTTCAAGGAAAAACCAAGAAAGGAGCTTTCCTAACCTCGAATCCGTAAAATCCACGATTTAGAGCTAGACAAGAAGAACGAGGGAAAAGAATTTAAGCTACTGCGAAGAGGAAGAAGGAGAAGCTTGAAATGAATCCTTGAAAAGCAACTCAGAAGAAGAAGATGAGGAAGAAGAAGGAATCAACACCCTTGCCCTACCACTTCAGCCTTTATAAATAAAACAATAGTAAAGAGCTTTCAAAAGTGAGAATGGAAAAAGGGAAGAAAGAAAAGAAATGAAATGGGTCCTCCAGGCCTTATAGTGCAGGTTGCAGGTTAATCGGTTGGATTCATTGATTTGAGAAGCTTCCTCTTGCGCCTCGTGCTGCCCTCCACCATCGCCCTTTACCGATCTCCGCAATTACTTTGTTGGGGGAAATTGTTGAGTTTCAAATCTTCGCATTACCACCCTTGTCAACTAGAGCAGGGAACGAGGAGCTTCTCAACAACAGTGGCCATGTCAAGGAAAGGTTGAAGAGAAAAGGATGTTTGTAGAGTGAAATAGAAGAAAATAGAAGAAGAAGAAGAAGAATAAGAAGAAGAAGAAGAAGAAGATAAATATGATGAAGACGATGAACAATGAAGAATATGAAGATGAAGACGAAGAAGATGAGCAGTCAGATTTAGGTATATCAGATGAGAAAATTCCAATACCGAGCCCGACCGTTCAAACCCATTTGAACCCGAAATTTACACTCGAAAAAACCCGAAATCCATGAGAAGCAATCTGCTTCACCAAATCTTTGATCTAATCGGTTTCGAATTGGTAAAAAAATTTGCCCAAGCCTAGTTTGATCTATGCATTAAGTTTTTTTAATTTAACAATTAAATTATTGAAATTCAACATACACTTATGTGTGTGGTTAAAATCCATTGACACCACAGTGTCAAATTAGTGAAATATTTGATGATATTACTAGTTAGATCAAATATATAAAATCAACCTTTATATTACAAATATGTTTTTTTGAGTGCTAGTGTTTTTAGGAACTTTTTTTCTAACGAGAAGGATTTTAGGAATTTTTTTAAACTTTTATCCATTTCAAATTTTATTTATCATATTTATTTATAAATTAAATTTTATTAGGTTTAAAATCAAGCAGGAATCAACAATTATAATTTAAAAAAATCAATTTACAAACTTCTCTTTACCTCAAATCACTCAAAACAAGAAAAATGAAGGAAGAATGACGAACAACGAAGGTTCCTCGAGAGTTCATCGTTCAACATTCTCAGTTTACAGCTTTGAATCCTCCAATCTAACACCACCACTTAGCTCTAAGGATGGGTTTGGATGCTTTTATAGAGTCAAAAGAATAAAAGAATTCTCTCAAGCTCTAAAGCTTATTTCTCTAGCTTCTTTATAGTTTTTTTTTTTAGGATATGAACTTATGAAGTTCAAGTCTTAATAAAAACTTTATAAACCTTCTCCTAAACTTGGTCAACTTGACCTCTACAAAAACAACTCAAGGACAACCTAACTCTCACGAGACCCTTAACCCTTAGAATCCTAAAACATCAATTAACTACACATAGCAACATTTAAAACAATACATAACATGTAATTAAATAATAAAGCATTAAAGCAAGTAGTGCTACAACACTTCAATTACCATTCCACGATTCACACACCTTTTTAAATTTACTACTATTATTTCCTCACACTTTGTTAGAATTCAAGTTTAAGTCTAAACTAGTATTTTAACATAAGCAATGCATATGTTAAATGTATATTATGTATAACTATAATTTATAATAAATTATATATAAATAAATATTATGTTTAAATATATAAATTATATTTAAAATTTATATAAATAGAATATTATTTTTATTCATTAATAATTTATTTTAAAAATATTATAATTTAATTTTAAATAAATATGATAAATAAAAAATAAATTAAATAAAATAGTCAACAAGATTTCTAAAAATTTTCTTGTTAAAAAAATCCCTAAAAACACTTATACTTTAGATAATAATTCGTATTTAATATATAATGATTGATTTGCTATAACTACTTGTGATCTATGAGAATAAATATAACAATGATTTATTTTTTTCAACTTTTGACTAGTTTGAAATTTATTTTACTTTTAAAATGATAATCTTGATACAAAATAATTCAACTATAGTTGAATTGATTTAAAAAAAATTAGAAAAATTCAATCTAAATCAATCAAATTAAATTATTCAGATTGACTAAAAAAATTAGTACAAATTTAGTCCAAACTAATTTATACCCACCCTTATATGGTAGGGGTGTTTAAAATCGAACAAACACAAATGAAAAAACTACACATCAATCTAAAAAATCAAAAATTGATTGAAAATCACAAATTAGCACTTTGCTTTGATTTTTAAATTTTGAAAACTGGATAGATTAGTACGATTTTCAGATTGAAATGTGAAACTGTTTCAACTCAAACCAAACCACACTTACTTTATATATACATATATAAATATTCAAATGTATAATGTAAATATACAAAATTAACACATAATATAAAAGATGTTTAATAAAATTGAAAGCTACTTAAAAGTTTTTCTTTCCTCCAAATATACATTATAATATTTAAAATATATTTTATAAAATTATAAACTACTAAACTAAATTTTAGAATAAAAAATTATTAATTATTTGTAATGTCTAAAAATATATATTTTTAAGTGAATTACACATACGAAAAAATATTTAATATAATAACTAATATGATATTAAAGAAATAAATTTTACTAAAATAATAAATCAAGAATTAGTGTTAAAATATTAAGCTATTGAAATATTTTAATATTTATATATTTTTTATTTTATGCTTTTAACATGCGATCTTAAATATATAAGACAATATTACTTATTTTTAGCTAGATATTTAAATAATAAAATTTAAAAATCAAACCAATTTAAACTGTAAAAGATTAGTTTAGTTTCGATTGAATTTCATAATTTATTCAAATCAAACTAAATTAAATTGCATTTAATTTTTTTTATTTGATTTAAATGATCTTTAAAGTAAAAATTAAATCAAACAATGTAAGTACAAGTTTTATATGGTATAAAAAGAAATGTTGCAAGTTGTTTTGTTTTATTTTTTTTTATTAAAAATACTATTAAAAAATTATCCGTCGTCGCTTGCATGTTACTCAAGTTGATTGACGACAACATTCATTAATTAATCTCTCTAATTTTGATAAGGAAAAGAAGTCATGTTATATATTATTTTATGACTTTACAATTGGTCAACAGAATACAGCACTACAAGAAAAAGTCAAATTTCCCACGGATTATTTCCAGTATATGATAGGGAGATTATCTATTAAAAGTTAACTATTTTGGTGAGATTCAGTTTTTTTTTTTTTACAGCTGGATGAAGATCAAGATGGATGGCAGACTGTTGGCAAATCTTCAAGGCATAAACACAAGGTTTATCTTTTAATTATAATCAATATGCCAAATGAAAAAACTTATGGTGTTATTTCCGTCGTGTGTTCTACCATTTTAAACAAATTGTATTATGTTAATATATTGCTGTTACAGGTATATCTTCTTTGCATTGTACTGTATGTAAACTTTGTCACCGAGTTTGTTATCAAATCTGTTTTGCTTTTGCATGCTTTATGCTCCACCCCTGTCTAAGTCTGAATGATGGATCTTACCAACTTGATGTAGGTTCCAAAAGAAAACTGGAACAGCTATAAACGACCTCCTGATGAGCAAGAATACTCTAATGAGGTAGAATTTCGTGCTGGTGTGGAACCCTCGGAAGATGAACTTGCTGATCTTTCAAGAGCTTGTGAAAAACTGTGGCATCTTGATTCAAATCGTTTGACACCTAACAAAGACTACGAAATTGACTGTGGTGAAGGCAAAAAGGCTTACCAAAAGGAAGATATGGCACAGGGGAGCTTGTTTACTTGGGTTAATGATGATGTATTCAGAAAGCCTACTTTTGCTCGTTTTCTTTCTCTTTTAGATAATTACAATCCACATCAAGGATGTAAGGAAGTAGTCACATCTGAAGAGAGACAAGAACAAGCTTCTTTCATAGAAGAAATCAGTAGAACAGCCCCAATTAAATATCTTCACAGGTATCTTGCTTCCAAAGGAATTGTATCAGAGAGTTACCAAGAATTCAAAAGAATGATGACCAATCTGTGGTTTGACCTTTATGGCCGTGGTGGCACTTCTGGTTCCTCTTCTGCTTTTGAACATGTTTTTGTTGGAGAAATCAAACAAGCTGGAGAAGTTTCTGGCTTTCATAACTGGCTGCAGGTGTGACCTCTTACTTTTCTTTCTTCCTGTTTGAATATATCTATTTACAGTTCATGTCGAATTGAAGGTGTATTAAGAAGTCATATTTGGTTCTCCTTCCAACCATCATTCTGATATACCAATCTCACTGGCTATCCAATTACTATTGACATGTTTGTTTTATCATTGAGTTTTGTTGAACAGGAAAAATACAAATTCCAAAGTACCAAATTAAGAAGTAATTTTTTTTTTATCTTTTCCATTAAATGGGATTATGTGGGTTTCCAATGGGAAACCAAACACACGTGTATTGTATTATTGGGGATTAGTTTGCCACTTTGCTGTTGTAAAATCCAGTGTTATTGTTAACATAGCTCCTTGTTGAATACCTTCAAAGTTGAAATTTCTATGAATACTTGCAATAGTCTTTTGTAGTCAATAATTTTCCCAAAGACATGCTATATCTACAAGTACTTATTCAGACCAGTAGTTTCTTTGCTATTTTATCTTTTGCTCATAACTTTTTGTAGTGCTGCTTTCCAAAAATATTGTCTGGTTATCTTGGAGTCAATAATCTATTAAATGAGTAGATGAGCAATTTTGTTTCTTTGATTTATAATTTGAATTTATCTTGCCATTTTAGGAATTATTTTTTTTATCTCACCTGTTGATGTATTCTGGCAGTTTTACCTTGAAGAAGAAAAGGGGAGAATTGATTATCAAGGCTATATTTTACCCCGTCGACGGGGAGAATTTGTGAGTAACTATTTGTTAAACTTATTTTATTGGCAATAATTCCAAGCATGGAAATGAAATTTTGGTGCACCAAACACAGGAAAGTAATAAACACGTGCACTAGCTAGAAGACATCAAAGCACGTGGAGAATATTTTTCATCAACAACAAATTATTTCTCCAACACAATGAGAGCCTTAATTACAAACTTTCATTCATCTTTCTGTTTTATTTCATATAATTGCTTTGCTTCAGTCATTTTAGTTAGTAGGTAAACATGTGTTATAGTTTGCGCTGTAACCACCTGATTTCTAATGTTCTTTGCCTCTGTAATTTGCAGCCTGACTCTGAAACCCAGCTTCTGACTATTCAGTTTGAATGGAATGGTGTTCTGAAATCTGTTTCAAGCACTTTGGTTGGAGTGAGTCCTGAATTTGAAATTGCGTTGTACACCCTGTGTTTCTATGTTGGCGGGGAGGATAACCACATTCAGCTTGGCCCTTATGAAGTTAACATCAAGTGCTATCGTTTAGGCAATCGAATTGGATCTGTTTTCCCCATTGCAGATTCTTGAATTTTCAACAATGGTAATAGTTGTTTGCAATGAAATTGTTTGTTATGAATACTTGATAACTTGTCGTTCATAGATGAAAAGGCAACAATATTAATTAGAACAAGTAGTACAAGGTAGCACAATATTTACAGAAGTACATTTGATGCCTCTTTTGTCTTGGATAAAGATGAATTATTGTGGAACTAGTCTGCTTCTTTTTTCTTAATTTACTCCTCAACGATAAGTTATTATCTGGTACTAATAAAATCTCAGATTTTGCTAGCTTGCGTAAGCTTAGAGGGGGATACATGCATCATACATTAACATTGAGATACAGCCAAGGATCACCAAGATTTCCTTCTTAGATATTTTTTATTTGTGTTGTAAAGGAAATCCCTACCATGTTTTTCGAAAATATCTAGCAAAGTCTCGAGATATTTTTTGAAAAGTGTTTAATTAAGACTTGTGTAAATTGCACTCCACTATCAAGATTTATTTAAATGAAATTAAACTCTACACTTATTCAAATATAACACTTTACCCCATTTGTATAAATTCACTAACAGAATTTCAAACAGCTATTCGAAGTTAACAAGTTGATTAACATTAATAAAATGTCAAATATTTTATATTCACTGTATTTGCTTTCTTTTTTATCATATGACTACATGCTTCTGGATTTTTTTTTTATTGTTGAGTTTTTTTTTCCTATTGCTAGCAGGTTATGAATTTTGGTATCTCTTTTTTTTTTTTTTGTGTAAAGTATGCTAAGAGACTAATATGCTCCTTGGCATCTTTTTAGAACAAAAGATATGATTCAAAAGCTTAATTTTAAAAAATAAATATAAAAAAGAAAAAAGTACATTTTAACATACTTTAGTAATAAACATATTTCTTTGTTGTTTAAGAATATGAAAGATTGATATAAATCACAATGTCTAATATATGATAATATAATCAAAAACACCTAATTTGATCTATTATAATAATTAATAGTTTCAATTTCATCTCTCTATAATTTTTTTGTTTCAATTTGGTCTCAAATAATTTAAAAAAATGTCAATGTCGGACTTTCTGTCCAAATTTCACAAATGGTGTTAAATGTGATGACGTGGATGCCACGTAGATGCATAAGTGGCATGCCTCCTCTCCCCCTTCTTTAATGACCTGGAACGGCCCGTTATGAAACCAGAACGCCTCGTTCCGCTTGCATTCTTTATGTGTTAATTTTGCATCTGGAACGGCCCGTTACAGATGCAAATGTAACACACAACGAGTGAATCAGAACGGCTCGTTCTGGTTCCAGAACGGGCCGTTCCAGAACGCCAACCAGGATTAATGTTTAAATTTAAGTGTTACATTTCAACAAAATATTCAACAAAATGCAGCAATGTGGTTCAAAGATTGAAAACAAAAATTCATAACATAACATAAACTCAAATATTAAAATATGCACCAGAGTTGATCTTCTCATCCCTATTTTTCATCGTTACCCATATAAATAAGAGTTAATCATCCCTACACTACGAATGTAAAGTTTTTTATACTGACAATCAATCATATCTTTTAAAGTTGCTTATTTTATTATTATTTCATTAAATAAGCAACTGACATGTCACTATTAAAATATATGATTGGTTGCCAGTGTAAAAAAATTTCACTGACAGTGTATAGGTGATTAGCTCTATAAATAATAAATCAATTAAGCGTAGTTTTTTTTTTTTACAGCTGGATGAAGATCAAGATGGATGGCAGACTGTTGGCAAATCTTCAAGGCATAAACACAAGGTTTATCTTTTAATTATAATCAATATGCCAAATGAAAAAACTTATGGTGTTATTTCCGTCGTGTGTTCTACCATTTTAAACAAATTGTATTATGTTAATATATTGCTGTTACAGGTATATCTTCTTTGCATTGTACTGTATGTAAACTTTGTCACCGAGTTTGTTATCAAATCTGTTTTGCTTTTGCATGCTTTATGCTCCACCCCTGTCTAAGTCTGAATGATGGATCTTACCAACTTGATGTAGGTTCCAAAAGAAAACTGGAACAGCTATAAACGACCTCCTGATGAGCAAGAATACTCTAATGAGGTAGAATTTCGTGCTGGTGTGGAACCCTCGGAAGATGAACTTGCTGATCTTTCAAGAGCTTGTGAAAAACTGTGGCATCTTGATTCAAATCGTTTGACACCTAACAAAGACTACGAAATTGACTGTGGTGAAGGCAAAAAGGCTTACCAAAAGGAAGATATGGCACAGGGGAGCTTGTTTACTTGGGTTAATGATGATGTATTCAGAAAGCCTACTTTTGCTCGTTTTCTTTCTCTTTTAGATAATTACAATCCACATCAAGGATGTAAGGAAGTAGTCACATCTGAAGAGAGACAAGAACAAGCTTCTTTCATAGAAGAAATCAGTAGAACAGCCCCAATTAAATATCTTCACAGGTATCTTGCTTCCAAAGGAATTGTATCAGAGAGTTACCAAGAATTCAAAAGAATGATGACCAATCTGTGGTTTGACCTTTATGGCCGTGGTGGCACTTCTGGTTCCTCTTCTGCTTTTGAACATGTTTTTGTTGGAGAAATCAAACAAGCTGGAGAAGTTTCTGGCTTTCATAACTGGCTGCAGGTGCTTAGGGAAGTAGGAGTAGAACATAACGTGGCAAAAGAAGAAGGAATCCTCGCTACTAATATTCCATTTATTGAACGGTCCACACCAATCACAAAATTAATTATATCACTATTAGCTTTCGGCTTCAATTACTTACATATTTGGATACTAATTAAAAGTTATATTTAACAGAAAAATATAAGTTTCAAAAAAAAAAAAAAAAAAAAAAAAAACTTTGCTAATATAACTTTTTGTCAATCTTTATTAAGTTCAATTTAATTGTTTCACAAGGACACCCTAACCGTTCTTAGAGAATCACTTTCAATTCAGACGTCCTTTATTTTACTTCTTTTATTGGAAAAGAGAAATAGTTATGCATATTTGTGAGGGACATCAATAAAGTTGAAGACTTTGTTTTTGAAAATAAGAAAGAAGTGTACGTACTTTCTTTTGTTTTAGGAAAATGCTCTTGCACATTTTAATTAATACATTAATGATATAACGTGATAAAAAAAGAGAGAAATAAAAATTATGGATCCTAATTAAGTGCTTAAACAAACCATTAGAAATTATTTAATGGTGAAGTGTAACATTGTGTGATTTTATACTTTATTGATTATTTATATGATGTTTATTTAATTGTTAATTTGTTATGTTTATTGTTGTTTTAAAATTCTATAGAGATTATTAAGAGTTAAGTTGTTGTTAAAGTAATTTTAGTTAAAGTCAAGTTAACTAAGTTTAAAGAAGAGTATATAAGATTTTTTTTACGACGTAAACTTTATAAGTTTAAATCTTAAAAAAACTTAGAGAAAAGCTAGATAGAGGAGCTTTAGAGTCAAGAAGATTTCTTTCTTCTTCTTCATTCCTTAGAGCATTAAACCCTTTCAAGTAGTTGAGTAGAGTTGAGAGATTGAAGATTCAAGGCTTTGAGAGTTGAAAATGTACGTTGAGAGAGAGTCATACAATGACCTAGAGACTTTCAGTTTTCTTCTCTTTTCTTGATTTTTGGGTGATTCGAGATTAGGTAAGTTTGTCTATATCTTGACCTAGAGACCTAGATAAGAGGAGGAAGGACTTAGAGTTTCAAGAGGACAATCATGTATTCTTGAAAGTTACATCGTGGATTGGAGTTGGTAGAGCCTTGAAATCTAAAAAAGTTATCACTTGTTTCGTTGATCCATATCAAATCCTTAAAAAAGTTGGTAAAGTAGCTTATCAAGTTGCTTTACCTGCATACTTGTCCAATCTTTACAATGTATTCCAAGTGTCCCAACTCCGTAAATACATTCATGGTCCTTCATATGTAATTAAATCGGATCATCTTGAGGTTAAAGAAAAATTGAGGGTGGAGACCATACTTATGAGGGTTGACGATCACATGGTTAAACAAATCATATGCAAAGATATTCCTTTTTCAAGATTGTTTGGGGAGGAGCTGCATTTGAAAGTTTGAAAGTGGTACTTGAGAATTGAGAAGTAAAATGAAAGAAATATATCCAGAGTTTTTTACGACAGGTAAAATTTGATGACGAATTTTCTTTTAGGGGAAGAGATTTGTAACATCCCTTTTTTAATAATAAATTAGAATAATATAAGAAGTGATGGTATAAAGTAAGGTATGAAGTTGATAGTTAAAATCATTAATTGATTGTTAGAAAAAGACGTAATATTTGGAGAGTAATTAGTGGATTAATTTCATATAAGGCTTAAATATGCATGTTATGGTCGTGATAAGCTCACATCCAAACTGCTTTACTCTAATAGTAACACTATACTTTTTAAATTTAAATGATGAAACATGATAAATCAATTTAAGTTGTTAAACATGTGTTTTGAGTGACATGAAGTTGTATTTACTTGAACTAGTTGTGATAAATTAGACATAATGATTTTATATGATCAAATCACTTAAATTGTTCACCTCAGTTGTAGGATATCTTCTTAAGTTGATATGCGTGACAACACATTAATTATTAAAAGTTGATTAAACTACTATTAAAATTATATATGTTAAAAACATTGTATATAATATAAATCATACCAGTTGTTATATGTTACAAATGATAATAATAATTTAATGATATACTTTGAGTTGACTTGTTTTAAGATGCTTATGTTGTGATAAATTACAATCTCATTATTTATTGATATAAACTATATATATATATATATATATGTATATATATATATATAGGTATATATATATATATATAT